TTTAACATTCAATCTGTTTTTTTTTAAATTCTTTTTATTTGTTAAAAAACTCTCTTCCTTCATAAAGAGGAAATGTAAACTTCGTTATCGTCATCGTAATTGCAGCTCTCGTTAACGAAAATTTTCCAGTAGCATGAGAAGCAAAGTAATAAATAATTGGAATCGTTCGTACTAATGGTGAATATGATAAAACTTTGTTTCACAAATACTTCTCAATTGAGCCGAACGATGTTTTTTTTTTTTTTTATTATTATTCCTTATGTAGGGGAATAATACAAGCAATATTATTTTTAAATCTCTAATTTTAAGTACCATAATAGCTGTCATATCTAATTTATTAAAACACGGACTGAGTAACTATATGGAAAAAAAAGAAATGCAATGATAAATATGATATTCGCTCACGTACTCGTCCTATCTCCTATCACCCTGGTGCAGTACAAACTGCGCGCGCACATCTATACACATAAGTATAAAGTACTTTAATCAAAGTTAATCGGATGCTGTTATATTCTCTCCCTCGTTCCTTTAGGTTCTGTTGTCTATCTGTCATTAGATGCTTACGCATCTGCTTTGACAGAAATGTCAGGATGTCGTTTTTACGATAAGACCATTTCCGTGGTAGATGATAGGACTACTTGATGATAGGATTTGTTCGCTCACTTATCTGTTTATCGCTTTTAAACTTTTTCGACTAACTTAATTACGTATGCTCATTATACTGCATCGCATTTTTAAATATTTTATTAGATTTTGTTAGATTTATAACATTCATTATTCCTCGTATTTTTCTTTTTTTTTGATGCATCGGAAACGTTCATATTTGATTTTTATTTGTTCATTTGATTTTTTTTGTGTGTTTTGTTTTAAATCGTTTAGGTAGCAATAAAAATTAGAATAAAAGTGAACGATCTAGTAATCCTATTAATGGTCAACAATACGACTATTATTTTTGAATGAAACATATTAAGACACATTGTCGAATTGTGATGTGACGTTCTATAAATCGCAATAAAACTCGTTCAATTTTGTTACTTTTCTAGTCACGTTGGAAAGATCTTGATTTGCATAAAAGGAAAAGATAAAAAAGGAACAAATATGACTTTCCTTTATAACGTGTATCGTAGCTTAAAAAAGCATTTCCCTTTTTCTTTTTTTTTTTTTTTTTTTGCTGGAGTGAATTAATTCAAATGATTTTTTTAAAACCTTTTAACATGAAATTAAAAAATCCTAATATACAAAAACATTTTCTAATATCTTTAAAATGAAACATTATAAACGAAAAGAGTAAATATTCATAAAAAAATTGTTTATCAGCATAGAAATGTATAATTCCTTGGAGATTCAATTAAAAAAACTAAAAATCGTGGATTATTTTCAAATGATTATATTAAACTCTAGAGAAATAGATTTGGATTTATTGGGTCGTATCTGGTCACTGACCCGAATAATCAAGGTGTTATATTGCTATCTTGAAAGAGAAAAACACGCTCGAATCTAATATAACGAAAAAGTTAACTCGAGATAAATGCCCCGTTCGATCTTGGCACGCATTCAAAACTTCCTTTCGAAATGTTGCCATGCCGCGATTTGACGATGGTCACGTGATTTTTCGCGAAAACTTTCATGTAAATATCTTTATCTTTTTCTTTCTCTATCTTTCTCTTTCTCTCCTAGAAATTGATCGTTCAGTTTAAAACAAATGAAAGATCTCTCTCTCTCTCTTCCCGCCTTTCGCTATTTTACTTTTTCTCTTTAAATCTCGCGTTGGAAACTCTCGTATATAGTTCGAGTTTAATTATTAAATAAATGAACAAAAAAATAAGGAAAGAAAATAAAAAATGTTTTTAACTGAAAAAAAACTTTGATCATTAACGTTTGATTCCTCTTAATTTAAAAGATTCAATCTACAGGATATGCCAACATTCAAGCAATTACTTCCTTTTTTTCGAGACTTTCAAAGTTAATTTTTCTTTTTGTCAGATTTGAAAACTAGAAGCTTAACAAAATGAAACAACAAGAGTCCCTTTATTGATGGTGTTTTCCAAATGTTCTGTAACAATAGAATCTAATTGTAAGAAAGTATTTGATAGGGTTTGCCCTTCCCCTTCTATTTTCCTTTCCGAGTTTTCATTTTACGTCACTAAACATAACATTTCAAAGGTCCGATCAGTTCAGTTTAACAGACCCTACCGAAATCGGTCGGAGTAAATACACGCGAGGAAAGCAGATCGTTTACTTTCGAAATACATTATTACTCGTTGCGACCTTTTCATTATCAATTTTATTTCAATAAATAATCGGTTCTCTAATCTGTCTACTTGTATATATATATATATTTATATATTTATATATTTAAACAAAAGTTGTGTTGAATAAAATAATCACTTCGTTGGTATAAAATTTTGTTTAAGAAATATATGTGATATTGTTTGTATAATTTAATTTGTACGTTTAATTGACAGTGGTTAAATAAAAAGAATCGCTTCGTTGGTGTAAATTTTGTTGCAAAAAAATGTATGTGAAATTGTTTCATTAATTTAATCTTTGCGTTTAGTTGACAGTGGTCTGTCTTACTCACGATTTTGTGTTTCTGTGTATACATTTACGATGCAATAAAAGATTTTTGATTGATAGTAATCCTGATAAAGCATCGATCAATCATATGTGGAACTACACAGTGTAGTTTTGAATTAGAATCAAACTAGAATCGAATAATGGGGCCCAAATCGTATACACTTCAAGTACGATGCAAAGGGGACGAAGACAAGAAAGAAGCTTGCTGGTTCAAGCGTTTGTCCTCGTTAAGTTCGGTCTTTCAATCGAAACGAAAAGTTCAGGAACACAAGGTAATTCGTTTAATCAATCATTCATTCATTTATTCATTCATCCAGTGATCATATTTTTTATGATACGTATTTTTTCGAATATACACGAGGATATTTATAGGCCAAAGTGAATTAAACTGTTTATCGAATTTTTTGTGAATTTTTGTATCAAAAAAACTTGATTGGTGCTTAATTCATTTTATTTAAAATATATTTTGTTAATTATCAGGCTTGACATCAATAAATGACAACAATTTAATGATCGTTAAATAATAAATGATAATTTTATTTAGTTTTGAAGTTCAACATAAAAAAATAACATTTATTTTGTATTAAATTAAAATTATCACACACATTTTTCATAAATTATATTATTATTATTATTATTATATTTTCGTTTACTATAATGATGGATTCATGTTCGAACGTGTGAAAGTAATTTTAATATTTCGTATCAATTGTCTGTGTCGTATTAGAGATAATCGTATGAAGATCCATTGAAATAAATTTTCCTTTAGTCAATGAGAAAAATTGTGGCTCCAGATGCATATGAATTGCATTATATACGTCACACTAGGAGGAAGTTAGCACATCGAACCAATAACTGGCCCATCTATTTCGCGTTTAATGTTGATGAATGACGTGAGTCATGTCGTTAGGATTAATCCAAAGATTATGCAGGAAATTTCCGACAAAATGTCTACATATAATATATACACTGAGTGATGCATTTAACACAAGCCATCTAAATAATTCGGTTGCAATTACTGATAGAAAAAACTGTGTCGAATGAAACTTACTCAGTTTCGAAGTTGGCATAATTTCATGTTGTACACGCGTGTAAAGTGTTCACTATGTTATCTGCTACATTTTTATTTTTTAGGTAAAGACAAATTAATAAAATCCTGAATTTGGTTTACTATAAGCATTTTAAAACATCCTATTTTTTTCTATCACAGATAGCAATCGAGTTATTTGGATTATCAATTTTGAATGCTTCACCCTGGTAACATTGTGTGATGTTGGAATAATTCTTACGGTAATCATTAGATTGTTTAAATTTCTCTAATCTTTTAAGAAAAATTAGAACATAATTATTTTGGATTTTTAACATGAACTTTATCAAAGAATTTTGTTTTTCATCGATAAGAGAACTCCTAATCGTTTTCTACATTTTTCAAATTTCCGTCGCCTTCTACACTTCTTTTATTCTGTTGTTCATTTTGTTTGATTACTAAACTGCGATAAGTAATCAGAGTGTGTAGTTTATTGAAATACGATAAAGTAATCAGCAGTAAGTCTTTGCTCAACTGGGTTTATCATTTCGTTGGTGACACATTACATTTGCAAATATGCGAATGCGATATGTTATAATGTTGTTACATACATATGCGTATCTTTGTTCTTTGTAAGAACTGATTAAAGTAAGAAAAAATAAATTAGCATGAAATCAAAATCATTTATTCAAATTCTAAGTAATTAAGTTCATTCATTTGTAGTAGTTAAAATGTTGATAAAAATCGTAGGAATAAATTTACAGGTCAAATTCATACGCGCGTTACTTTGTCCTTCGTAACAATTGAAGATGCTAAAAAAACAAACGAATTAATATTAAATTCAGATAATTTATTAAAGTTCTAAGCAAGTGTATTTACGACTTATAAAAACTCTCTGAACTAATAAGCAAAAAGAAATCTTACACAATTGGGATTAAAAAGATCTGTAGAAGAAATTTAAAAAATGCAAATATTTTCTCGCGTAAAAATAAATAGGTCGACCGTTATCGATGATATCTTTAAATGGGTCGGAAGGGCACATTTTTCTCAATCGAGTCTCTTTCGAAAAGATTCAGAGCCGTTCACCGGCTGCGTAAAAGGGAATTCTCCTCTCGGCTTGTGCTTTGCTTTCAAGCAGTACATTCTTTCCACGGCCGTTGCTATAATACATACACACATTATATATATATATATAATATATGTGCATATATATACACACATGCACGTATAAAACGACACGTATGATCAGAAATCACAAATACAGTCTCGTCGGGTTGGGTAAGTTCGTAGCGCGTCCGCAACGAGGCGCCAGGGCGCATGTTCGCTAAGAAATGAGTAGTATCGGTGTACATTAAAAGAACGTCAGTTGCGCGCCGACCCTGCATCGGTGTGCATGTCGGTTAATGTAATTGATTAATTATTCTTTTTTGTTTTCTGGAAAAACGGTTCCTTTTTTTTTTTTAAATTTACCGTGAAGCGAAACATGGTGTAGTAAGAAAAATAAAGTATCGTGTGAATTTTTTTTATTTATAAAACAATAATTTCTTTTTCTTAAAATAACTCATCATCTCTGTGACGTATGTTTATTATTGTCTGCAGTGTGAAAATAAATGATTGAAATATTATAAAAGTTTGTACAGTGATTATATATTGAAAATACTATGAGAATGACTAACGTTTTGACGAGCAGTGTTGATTTAGTGCGAATAAGAAATAATTTATCGCGAAAAACGATCGATTGTTTTGTAGCTCACATCAACTCTTGGAGTTAATTTTGACCAATAGAAAATAGCGCGGGATCGATGATGATTTTGAATTTCACCCATTTTCGTCTGGTATATAACTAAGTTGTTGCCGGCTGTTTCCTAGGTATACCTTCGACTAGTTCGAAGTTATATTCCCATAGGACCATCACACCACACATTCTACTACATACAACCTCCACACACATATACATTTATATAAATCCATATAAAAGCGATCGTAATTCTCCGAAGTAAATCCTTAACGACGCAGCATTAGTTCGCATTGAGACAGTTCTTTGTTGAATTAGGAGAGATAAGTTTTAAAGAAAAAGGAAGACAGATATTATATACTGTAACTCGGTCGTTCGAAATCTCGTTGGAAATCTTAAAAAAGGGGACTTGCGACCAACCAGAAGGAGTGAAGAATTTCGAAGAAAAAGAAAGAAAAAAAAAACCGGAGAAAATAAAATCACGATCGTTAGTTAATTTTTTGTTTTTATACGAGTAATTATGATCACTGAAATATCAGAAATTTATCAAAATCATCCGACTTTTGAATTATCGAAGGTTTTATGTGAACATGAGAACCCAAGAAAAAATTTGAAGATCTCGATCGTCGGAGATTTTTCAAATGAACAATAAGTAATCCGAATTTTCACGAGGATAGAGATGAGAACGTGAAAAATCTAACGTGAAGTTAGGTACGATAAATAAAAAGAAAAAAAGGAAAATAAAATATAAATATAAATATATAAAATAAAGTTATAGTTGAGACGTGAGGAATGATTTTCACCGGAAGATCGGTTGACGCTCTCGACGAGGTACGCGGTAGTAGCGTCGTCGTCCAGAACGACGAGCGTCGCGACGTTAAAGCCGTCGCTATAGCAGCCGGCTGGTTTTCCAGTTTGCGCAGACCCGGCAAGAGGAACAAGAGGTCCTGCCAAAAGCAGGCTAAGAGTGCTTGGGATCTTACTACTTTATCTACGGTTAGATTCTCTTTTTTAATATTTTTTGGTTTTTTTTTTTTATATATCTTTAAGTCTGTATAATCCTCCTTCCATGTAATTTTCTTATCACATACGTATATTTGTGTATAATTTTTGCCAATGTTTCTTCCATTTACATTCGATTCCAAAATTTTATTTCTTTGACAAATATAAGTTACATTTGGTTTAATACAATGTATAATTTATATTGCTATAGACACAATTTTTCATCTATTACAATCTGAAATTTTAGGACACAAAATTGGATTAATTTCATTTAAAAATAGTATATTATTATAATAATAAAGATAGAGGATTATACAGTTATATTAGTATAATGTATTATAACTATAGTATTATTATGTATATAAAAATCAGAGAAAATTAGGTTATAGGTGAACTTAAATCCAACCTAAAAACATATTCTGTCAGACACATCTATGCGTAAACTCTTCAATTTTATTTTTTTATATTTATTTTTATTAAAATTTAAACGTCGCAAACGAATTACGAATAAAACCGAAAATTAGTGAGCGTTGTAACCGAACTAAAATCCCGAACGGAACCGAAGTGAATCCAAAGCCTCTGATAGCCGATAATTGAAAGCTGGCCAAATGTCGTTTCGTAAATAAATCGACGTGATTAAGACTGTTGTCAATGTGTCGGTATTACACAGACGAGAGTACCACTACACTACGCTACACAACGAGGACGATAAAATGCGGTATACGGCGTCTTACGGAGACTTTGCCAAGGAGACAAATTTATTTCTAGGCGCGGTCGTCGGCTCATACGAAAAATATCCTATATTTCTAACTATATTTACCTTCATATTTTTATTCCTTTCATTTTTCTTTTAATCGAGTATCCTCTTTCTTTTTAACATTTTAATTATCGTTCATTCAATTTTTCTAATAAACATTTTTTTTTATTATATATGTCCTCGGTTATTATTACAGTGGACTAACAATAGGTCAAAACATTGGAAAAATTAATTTCATGATATATTTTATATTAAAATTGTTTATGTCGTCAAATAAATTTATATAATTTTTGGACTTAAGCCACTATCAAAATTACATAATTTCACATACTGATTGATTATTAATTTTATTTCTTTTATCGCGATAAATAGTAAATGAGGTAGAACAATAGAAAATGAGGAAGTATTCGTTTTAAACGGAAGTCAGTATTTATTGGCTGATTCATCTTCGAAATTCCAATAATTCTTGTTGAATGGGTAAAAACAGATATTGAAGTGTCATAGCACGTGGAAATAACGTCAAGTTCGAAGAATTTATCCAATTTGATGATTGATCGTAATCGACCATATCTTTGAACGATGATATTTAATCTTTGTTTTTAACAACTCTTGATTTGTGTGTTGTGTATGTGTATTAATATATTTAGCATCTATGATTATTTGCATCCTCCAATTCAATTCAAAATAAATAAAACGATAAGAAGAAAAATTATCTTCAATTATCAACCTTTTATCTTCGATTATTATTAAAGTAATTGAAGTATTAACATTTTTTTTATTCATTATTTTTTTTAATTTAAATTTTATGTCTTTGAGCACAGTTTATTATTAATTGTATGATAACGGCTGTATATTTTAAAGGCAATTTTTTATTTATTTCAAATACAACTGTGGAAAATACGCTCATTAAAAATTATCAAAAAGTCAAATAACGACCATCCTAAAACGTATGTTGAATGCAAACAAGTATGTATATTTATGGTTGCATGTACATATGCATAGCTAATGGATATAGACATATTCAATTATGTGTAGATAATGGGTATAGACGTATATATACTTATGTACTACATATAAATGTGTACCACGTAATATTGTACATACACTACTGGACAAAAGTTTGAAGTCCCTACGTAAATTTAGAGAAACTTGATATTTATGTAATAAAAATGAACGCCTTTAGAGTAACCCAAATAAGTTTACATGCCAAAAACTTAAAAGTTGCACATTTTACATTTTGTATTATTTTTTTTTTTTTTTAACCAAAAAACAAGTATTTTTTTCTTCAAATCTATGTTTTCATATTTTCAGTTTATATTTTTTCTTGATTCTTATAAAAGTTACCAAAAATGTTCTAGTACAAAACTTCATATCGATCATTGCCTTAAATTCGGTTTACAAATTGTACAAGAGCTTTATAGATACAAGAAAATGCTGAAATGTTTTAAAACATCATTCAACTTGTTAATATATTTGATATAATAATGATTAATCATTTAAGAATTTTAATGGAAATTAGAAATCGATTCCAAATCTTTTGATTGGTAGTGTACTTCCTCAAGCGTGAAGAAAGGAATTCAGATTGTCGATTTCGAAGGATATATCATTCGACTATTGTCTATCGTCTAATGAGGACTATGTACTACACATAAATACTACACTTAAGTACGTGCTCACATACTACACATTGTTTCCATACATATATACAGATAGTTAATAGTATACACACATGCACACACACAACTTATATACTTAAGTACACACACACACACGTCACGAACTATAAATCGAAGTCTCGGTTTAGCTCAAGTAGTTCGTACAGGGTTGCTTTATTTATAGATCGAATCAGGATACAAATGGCGCTTACGCAAACCTAATTCCATTTCGATACAGTTCGAAACTATTTGCAATACTTCTTGCATCGTATGTATGCATAGATCTACCTTGATGCATCTTTTTTTACTTTGTTAGTCTTCATCCTAGAAGGAAGAAAATAATGAAAAAGTAATAGGAAAGTTTCTTTTTCATTCGCATAAGTTTTATACAAAACAAGGAGCAAACTTTTCACATAAAAATGTTGACTTTTTTAACTACTTATTCTATGATTTTTTTAATAGAGATATATAGTACACTGAGTTATCCTAACTAGACTATCGTTCGATCGATTATTTTTATCGTTATTATTTTTTTTTTTTTTTAGTATATATATATATATTTATGTAGTGCTATTATTATCATAACGTGACCGGTCGTCTTCCATTTTCGTGTGACCTTTCGCAACATAAAAAACTTTTCTACTACTCGTGATCCATTATCTTTTCCAGTTCCTCTCAAGGTTGTCGCAAAGCGAAACTCTCATTCGTTTTATTAGTATGATTTCTACGTTCAAAATGCGTACTATGCATACATATGTATAAACGATTTAATACCAGAACTTAAAACTATATTTGTACATTTTAGAAGAGAGGGATAAAATATCAAATATAACTTTGACGCTTATATTAACATAAATTTAACGAAATTGTATAAAATATAATTTTGATTTTAATAACAAAAGAAAGAACTGAAAAAGAAAAAATTAAAACAAAAAAAAATATATATATATATATAAAAATTAGAGAATTTGCATAATAAAAAACAATAAAAATTTCAAATTTGAGAATATTATTTTACAATGTCGGTTAAGTGGGAACTTTTAGGAAGCTTTTCGGTTAATCGGCAATCATCGTGCAAAAGTATATCGCGTGTCATGCTTGATTCGGCAAATATAACAATTTCTGCTTTTCCTCTTCGTGTAACCTTGTGCGCTTTAGTGAAAATATTCTTCTTCGAGAGAATTTGTTCGTTTAGTCGGTTGAGTAGTATCGATAATTACGTCGAAAATTGACGAAAGAGTATGAGAGAGAAAGTATATGTTTCCACTAACGCGTGAGAACTCTGCCTAATGATTTATATCGTTTAGAATGAATTAGAGAGAAAAAGATGTCGAGATTCGTTTGAATACATGATTGATGACGTTGATAACGTTTTCATGCAGTCAAGTGGAACGATTGTGAATGATGTATACGTGTATTTAATTTGTCATATTTTTTCTTACATTTTATTATTATTATTATTATTATTATTCCCGGCGGACGGTAAATGAAAAAAAATAGTTCTATAGTTTTTGCACTGGTTATTAACTTTACACTTTTATCTTGTAATATTGTAAATTATCTTTTAATAGACTTATGCAGGAATAATTTATCGGAGTTTCAGGATAAATCTATTTATAATGTAAGATAATTATTACGTAATCCGTAAAATTCTATCGTTAAAGTAAAAATATATTTTTATGTTGAACGAGAGACACTATAAAAGAGGAGTTGTTGTAAGATTGACACAGATCATTTTTATTTTTATTCTGATCCTTTTGGTATAAATAAATAAATGAATAAATAAGTTAATGAAAATAAAGGAACATATGATTTTACGAGATCTTCTCGTTAATAGTAATATTGTATGAAAAATCCATTCAAAATTCTCATTTATTGATGCCAGCTATGTGTCATTTGTTTGAATTTACTGTTATAAATTCTGATAGATTTTTATTATGTCAATTTACATTGAAACGTGGACGGTTGACCATCGATTGGTTCCAGAATATTTTTATAAGATCATTCAAAAGTCTTAATGTTATTAATAAAAGAAAAAGATGATGATCCGAATTATTTGAAACTGGCGTTGCCAAAGCAACAACTTTGTCTACTTCTAGTCCCATGTTACAATCGAATAAATTTGCATTAACCTGTCACGATTTAGGGTACTGATAACATACTAACTGATATAGTACATTTATTACTTGCTAACATTTTTTACTATAGACTTACTGCACATGCACAAACAAATACAGATACATGATAGTTATAAATCATTGTTGGATCTCACTACGATCTTATTATGATCTTTATCGTTTTTTATTACTGTCAGTTGACATCATCGAACGATTATTTTCTTTAGACGACACATGTCCAACGACAACAGTGACAACTACGACGATAAAAAAAACAATCCTCTGATCGTAGATCACTAACTAAATTTAACTTGACTGGCTTTTATTAGAGATAGAAAATACGTGATTTAGGTTAGATCAATGATTTCTTTTTCGAGTTATTTTATTCGTTTGTAATTTTCATTCTGATTTATTTTCTCATTTTGAGATTTTTATATTGATTATTTTCATTAATTAGTTGTAATT